GGAACTTCTCTAATAGTATTGATCTTCCTAGAAAGAGGATCTCTAATTTCACCAGTAAGAACATGAAGGAGGTTAAGAGATCTCCAAAACAGTTGGGTGCTTACATAAGTAGGACAGTTGGACAAGCAGTGAAAAGCCCAGATAAACTGCACAAGGTGCTCTACCACAGAAAGTTAGTTTGTCATTCCTTCCCAAATCCTTGTTACAGACCTAAGCAGTCCCCTAAAAGTGGGGGCTGTGACATGGCAAATAAAGAAAATGAACTGGCTTGTGCAGGCCCTCGACCTGAAAATTTACGCCACGACAGTCGGACATTTGTCATTAACACCAGTGATTCTGGGTCTTCACAGACAGAAAACCCATCATCAAAATACAGTGGTTTCTTTTCTGAGGTTTCTCAGGACCATGAGACAATGGCCCAAGTTCTATTCAGCAGGAATTTGAGATTGAATGTAGCTTTGACTTTCTGGAGAAAGAGAAGTATAAGTGAACTTGTAGCTTATTTAGTGAGGATAGAAGACCTTAGAGTTGTGGTAGATTGCCTTCTTGTTCTAACCAATAGTTTACAGGAAGAAAAGCAATATATCTCACTTGGCTGCTGTGTAGACTTACTTCCTCTTTGAAGTCTTTACTTCAAAGCAGATTTGAAGAATATGTAATTGTTGGCTTAAACTGGCTTCTCAGAAATTATAAGTGAAGGAAATATTAAGATTTTAAAGCAACAGTTGAATGGATTATGGGAACAGGAAAACCATCTTACTTTGGTTCCAGGATATACTGGTAATATAGCTAAGGATGTAGATGCGTTTTTATTACAGCTGCATTGAAAGATTGCATCTTCTAAAGAGTATTTGGTTATTCAGACAGCGCTGGATTATATGATTTCCAAAAGTAGGTCTCTCCTGAGAACCGAGAACTGTGGAAGAAATACAACCAATTTTTTTTCTTTTAAAAAGCCACATGATAAAACCACTAATGAAATCCTAACAACCTACTTCACATTGAAGTGGAAATATCCAGAAGGAGCGGCTTCAACTTCAATGAGGTGAAAGTGCACTATGAAGACTGTTTGCCCTTGCTGCATGCAGAATTAAATGGCCATTTGGTAGTGCTATTTAAGAACTACTGGGTCTTAACTCAATCCTACATAAGAATATGATTTATAGTATATAAAAATAAGACAGGACTTATTACCAGGAACTATAAAGACCAATCATTAAAATTTTTATTGTGTTTTATGAAGAAACACTTAAATGTGTACAGCTATTTTCTTCTGTCAGAAAGACTTCAAAAGTTTAAAACATCATAGTAAGTAATATTAAATTTTTTTGTCCACACTGATACTGTGTACAAATGTCTTAATTATTGATAAGCCAATGTGTTATAATACCAGTATATCTTTTTTTCAAAAAATTAAAAGCAACCATGCTTCTGGCATGATAAAATCATAGAATTAAATCAGGGGTTTACATTCATGTAGAATGTTGCTGAAATATACTCAACACCATTTTTTTAAACTTGAGAAAATTTTGGCATCTCTGATTTTTTTTTTTTTGGCCAGAATCTTCATGCTATGTTTGAATGTATGTGTTATTCTTATATAAAGAAAAAAGGTGAATATGTATGTTTGTTTATGTATGAATGTTTATATGTGTGAATGTTTAACTGGAAATGTCCATGGAGTTGGCTAATTTATATTCACTTTATTGTATATAGAGTTCTAATATTTTTCATTTCTGTAACATTTAAACTTCCTTTGAGTAAATTTACTAAACATTTCTATTTTTTGCTTTTCTAATTCTAATTTATATGAAATCTAATTAATTCCTTGTCACTAAATGTGTTCTGAAAAGTTCCATACAATGTTTCAGAATTGTTTACAGTTAATGCTGACATTGTACTTTAAGTTCCAACACAATGCATCACTACCTCCTCTAATGGTTAGTATGAAATCCCAGCAAACTATATGCAAGTGTTTTTGTGTTTTGTTTTTTTAACATGGCCATTTGAAGCATCAGTGTACTGAATTCTGGAATGTCTTAACAGTTTGAACCTTACCTGTCTTGGGTGGAATTGCAGTTGACTACCACTCTTGCTGGCCCATTCATCATCTTTCGTTAATAAGGCTAGCAAGCTTCCAGAAAAGATAAATTGACTTCCTCTTCATATTCCAGTATACATTTTAAAACTTAAACAGTGACTACTGAGAAGCTTCCGCAGCATCTTTTTTTGCTATGGAGATATTTAAAGTGTTACTTTTCACTGAATTCTGTTTTGTATAGCTATTATTCCAGATATCTATGTACACCACAGAATGAATATCTGTTGTAGTAATTGATGATTATATACTCAGATTAGAGTCATTCCAGATGACTAGTTTTGTGATTGTGAGGTGAGGTATGTAAGAAGTCACTTTTCAGAATGTGGGAATTTTATAAACCTTCATCATTCTGAAACCTTGAGGTGGGAACTACAGCCATTTGTTCTTTGGACTTAGTCCTTTAGTTTTCACTGTCTTTCTTTTTGAGCCATTTAGGCAGGTTAATGCGGTTCGGTTGGAGTGTGACGCTAATGAGACTAAGGGTTTGAGTCTGATCCTTTTAAATTCATTAAACTTCTCACATGTACAAAGGAAAAAAAGTTTCTATTAATAATCTGGTGTTCTTCCTGTTTGCTTGCTTTATAAGATACTTGGCCTTTCTTGCTTAGAGTTTTCAGTAGCCTTTCTTTTTCTCTTGTTTTGTTATTTTAAGTTTAATATGTTGCTGTAGCCTATATGGTTTGAGTCTTGGAATCCTAGCTAGACAGGACTGGGTGATAATTAAATAACCAACATGGAGAAACATATACAATGATTCTGGTATCATGAGGAGGTCTCAAACATTAACACATAATGAACCTTGGTGTATTAATTAGGTAGAGCATAGGGTATACTTAGCTTGTCTAATTAGGACATCTTGGGGTGTAACTATCCAGGAGGAAGAAGCTACAGATTTTAAGTATTTGTACACACAAACCAACCATCTATAATCTTCATACTTGTATTCCTACAGAAACCATTACCATTCCTCTTGAGCCTGGTCTATATGAGTATGACTTCACTAATTTACCATGGACCAATTAGTGCCAGAGTATTAAAGGGCCCTTAGTCATTACAAACACACATTCAGTCAATATCCCACTCACACAGAGCTTCCTATTCTCCCAGACAATATATCATGGTGGGTTTCTTTTTTAATTCTATCTATTTTGTGTTATGTGTGCTTCTTATACTTGGATACTTTTCACTCTCGGTTTGAAAGTGTTTATTCTATGATTTTATTGAAAAATATATACTATGTATTCTTCTAATACTGCTGCTGCTGCTGCTACTACTACCACTATGCCATAATTTAAATGTTGGGGCTTTTCCTGATGACTCAAAATTTTCCTGTGTTCTGTGCATATTTTTCATTCATTATTGGCTGATTCTGAGTAACCTAACTTCTCTGCCTTGTCTTCATTCCCTTGGAAATCTATTTATTACATGGTCCACTCTACTGATAAGGGTCTGCTGGGGTTTCTGTTTGGACTAATTAGTTTTTTAAAGCATTATTTCAGCTTGTATTTACTTCAGTAATTCTATTTATTCAGTGAATTATATTTTCATATTTTGAATTGACATCCTTATAGCATTAAGTAATTTGTTGTTCTTTTGAAACTTATGTCCTCTATGAATTATTTGAACATAATTATAATATACTTTTGATTGTTTGTCATGTCTGTCTTCAGATAAATCTCATTTTGTGTCACTTGGATAAGGTTGTTTTTTCATTAGTGGAGGAGATATGGTGTCTTTGTTATTTTGTTTTGTTTCAGCCCTGGGACTGGAAAATCTGCAACAATCTATTTATCAAATTCTGTCTTTATATATCTGTCTTTCTTATTCAAGTTACTTTCCTACTTTCAGTAAAGAAAATTACAACATTCAGAAGAAAATAAGATGCCACAATCTCTTATGGGGATGGTACTGAATATTTTCTGGTAGCATATACCATGGGCATTGCCAGGAAGTAGATTTGCACATGATACAGAACATCGCAATGTGCTGCTGTCTGAAGTAAAGTTCCTGGTATGTCTGAGTAGGTGTAAGCCTCTGCAGCTATGTTCCTTTGGTTGTTGGAGGAGTTTATAAGACCTAGGCTTCTGGTGAACTAGGATCCAAGTTAACATAGAAAGGCATTATCAGGGAAATCCAGGGTCCCATACTTTAAACAGGAGGCAGTGGTGGCTGGACATATGCAGCAAATTAAAGAAAGCAGTAAGAAAGTATCTTGAAGAAACCACATTGAATCAGCACTTGTAGAAAAGTTCCTGGCAGTGAAAGCTGACGTATGCTACCTTAAGTAGTTTTAAGAACACATATATCTTAGTCTCATTTCTGTTGCTGTCTTAAACTACCAGAACATAAAGCAACTAGTGAAAGAAAGACCTTGTTTATATTCACAGGTCCAGATTACAGTCCATTATTACAGGGAAGTCAAAGCAAGGGGAACTTTAGACAACCTGTCACATCACACTCAAAGTCCAACACCAAGAAGAGGAATATATATTTGATCTTTTCCTGGCTTGCTTGCTTGCTTGCACTTAGCTTGACTTCCAGATCATACAGTCCAAGACAGTATGCCTGAATCATGATGCCTTCCACAATGTTCTTCACCCATCAATTAATTAAAGGTTCCTTAGGCCATCCCAATGTAGATAAACTGTACATTGAGATTCTTTTCTCAATGATTCTATGTTGTGTCAAGTTGGTAAATAAGGCTTGTCATCAAGGCACAATTATCACACAATTTGTTGAAATAAAACATTTTATTGCTTGAGACAACAGCTTTTATAGTCTTCTCTACAGTAACAGAGAACAGACTAGGGAGATGTAGTCACATGTTAAGAAGACAGTAGTTATGAGTCTGTACCAGTGTGTTTTTGTTCTACTTCCCTACCTGCACATGCCATTGTGGAAATGGTTGCTGTACCAGAGAGCACAGAAATACATTGCCTCATCCTCAGCCTGTGCCCCTGTGATGGTAAGGGCAGCCTTGTCTCCAATCAGGGACCCAGTGAATCTGGCAGGAACACCTGGAGCTCTGTAGCTGGTACTGCCTATTATACCAGTGAATAAATGATCTGGTTTTTCTTGGACCCAATTGGCATAGTTACTGGTTGTAACAGCCCCAGTACTTGATCCACAAGTGAGTGTGACTGTTCCACCTGGTGATGTGGTGAGGGCAGATTCCTGAGTTACAACAGCCTGGGAAATGGCCCCTGCAAATAGGTGAGAAATCCAGTGGTCAGTAGCAAATCAGAGATAAGATGTACACTGTTACATACCCACTGCACTGTGGAAAGGGCCACTGACCTGAGCAGAGAGCTAGGAGAGTGACCAAAAGTGAAGTACAGTCCATAATTCACAAAACAGGTCTATTCTTTTCAAGACTGCTCAGCATCAGGCAGTGACACAGACATAATATAACTCCTGGGCTGGGCTGGGCTAGTTATGTAAATTACATTCATTTACAGGTTTATTGTAATCTATCATGTGAAACCTACTACACTGACACAAATGACTGGTCACATGTTACTAAAAACAAGGGTCAGGAGTATTAAACTTCAGTTGCTCAGGCTTTTCCAAAGTCATAAACATCTGCTATCAATATTCTAGAGTGACATCAGCAACGAAAATCATGTTTCACCATGTGTTCCCCTACTCACAGTGGAGAACATTACAGTATGTAAGCCAGTGTAAAGAAATGAATATGAAGAAAGAATCAACCTTATAGAGCTTGCAGTATGAACATTCATTATGGAAAAGTGACTTCTACCGTATTTGCTCATCACAATTGTCAATTCATGGAAGAAGATTACTATGTACAGTATAATGAGCCTAAATCTGGAAAATGAAATCATTATAAAGCTTAATTACACAAGCCCCACGATAAATTGGAAAATGGACTGAAAAGAGCAGAGAGTGTCTAGGTTTTAAAGCCTATGGGTCCCTGATGCACTGATAGAGGTAGCATACATTTTAGAATTAACACAAATAATTCTAGCAGTGTATCATTCTGTTCCAGATCAACAATAAATGCATTGATAGTTGGAAATATTAATACATGGTACAAATATTCACAGTTCAAATAAGTAAATGTATATATAGTAACAAACACACCATAGTAGATCTACATAAAGATGCCCTGCAAAGATTGGAAAGGGTCAGCTGCATACAAAGACAAACTTATACCTAGGTTTTGAAATCATCATGCCAAAAGTATAATTTTTATTTCTTTGTATTTGTGCATGTTTTTGTAAAGATAGGATGCAGTTTCAAGGAACAAAGCAGATAGATGACTGGATCTATTTGTAGGATAGATGAATGTGCAAGGAAAAATGTAGGGTGACAGAATGTAAATTTTGTTAAATATGTGTATATCTGTTCTAGCATTCTTAAAATCAATTTTAATATAAATTATATGTGTGCACACTTGCAAAACTGTGTCTTTAACATGGACATATATTTGAGAAAAATATTGCTTACAAAATTTGTTTAAAATATATCACAATAATGTAATTTTGACAATACTAATAACATCATGTCTATATTAGAACCTCTGCACAGAGGATTAATAAAAATATGTTCATTAAATCAGAATCGTGATGCATATTACTCACATTTTCTTTTTGTATACATGTGATTTGTGAACATTTCTAAGACAATGTCAATATTTGGTCTTAGGATTTTGAAACTGTTAGCAAAGTACTGATTGAGCATTAAGGAAATGGATAAGAAATGATTCCCAAGAAAACCAAAGCTAACTTTGTCATGCAGAAATGAAATTTAATTGTGGAGTGGAAAATGAGAAAGAAAAATGATTACTGGTCAGATCAACAGAGGACCTGGTGTGGACAATCATGGAAATAGCAGAGCTTCCAGAACTCAGTGATTAGGGGGCTGGATTTCACTTGGGTATAGACTTATACAGGTGCTGGCCTTGTTTCCAGCCTTCACAGGTTGGAGAATTTGTACTTCTATCTACCTCTAGACATTTGGTACTAGAATAATTCTATCAGTTTGTGACTGAATGAAGTCAGAAGTTTTGGGGAAACTATATCTGAGCAGTGGGACAATAGGCAGGGCAGTGGCTGAGTACTGGGGTTCTCTGTATCTCCACAAGATAGATAGTGAAGACAGCTGAATACCCATAGTTTGGCAGAGGGAATCTACAAACAACATGATAATACATCCAGTAGGGATCAGAATGTTCCTAGATATTACTGGTCCAGGGTGCAATGTGGAGTAGGAATTGAGATCTGCAAATATACATATCTCCTTCTGACTTGAAGGAAGAGCAGAAGGAAAGGCAAACACAGACCACAGATGGAGGGACACTGATCTTTACTTTACAATGGTATGGCCCTGCTTCACGTCTCATTGTAACCACACCTCATGCTGGAACCGGAGCCTTCCCTACAAGTGTATTTTCATCAATACTCACTCCTCTCTCAAAATTAGTGCTGATGGTCATCTCTCACACACACCTAGCAAGATGAAATTTTATTTATGTCCTGGGAATCAGTCAGGAACCAGTACCTGCTGAGCAAGGTAAAGGTCTGTTTAATATACTTACAGACTAGAGAAGATGTAGCTACTTATTCTTTCTTAATCAGTGAACAAATGAAATCTCTTCTATGCTAAAGCTTCTTTGAGTAAACTGTCCTTAATAGTCTGTTTACTGAAAACCAGGACTGTGGCACAGGCACAAGGAGCACAGTCATCATGGCCAAGAAGGTATTTTCATTTTGCAGCCTCCCTAATCTCTGAATCAGAACATTCATAAACTTAAAGTTTCCTGGCTCTGATATGCTGTGTATAATTCTGCAACCTCCTGCTACCAAGAAGCTCTTCCCTGTGAACTATATCTATTGTGAGTTATGTAAACATGAACTGTAAACCCCTTCTAGCACCTGGTTACACTATGAGAGTCAGATCAAAGGAGGCCATGTTTTTATTTTGTTGTTGTTGTTGCTGTTTTGTTTTTGTTTTTCCTATGGATTATCGCTCTGGGAGGAAGCAGCTGCTGTAACACTGTAAGGGGCCAATGAGCCCCTTACAACTGTACATGGTTCAGTGAACTTAAACATGTGAGGTCTCTGAGGATTTCTGAGAAGTGTCACAGCACCCTCTGGTGGATTTATTATTCTCAGTTGTTCTTTAACCATTCTTATTGTACTTGGCAACCCTACATTTACTTACCAAGTTGACTAATAAATAGCACATTTTCCTCTTCAATTATTTTGGTTTATATCTTTTTAAGAAATTAGTCCCATTGTTTTGTACATTGATTTCAATATTTTCAGGATGTATCCTTATTTAAGTGCTTTGACAAAATGCAAGTGATGATTTTCATGACTGAAAGAGGAAATTACTTATTTTGAGTATCGTATGCACAGGTTACTTTAGTGAGAATAATTCTTAAAATATTAAAGTATGTAGGAAAACAAATTGTCCAAGATTGGGGTTAATGTATTAAAGATCATGGATCATATATTGGAAAATAGTGAAAGAATTTGTACATGCTGTGTCCATTATTGTTAACAAAATTTAACATTATGTGATACTTTATAATGACATCTAACCTCAGAGGATATATTGGAAGTTCTCATGTGTTTCCAACTTGATAGGAGTTGTTTGCTCTACAGAATAACCCAATTGAATTTAAAGAAGGATCATGTGCTGCTATGAAAGTCTTAGAGAAGCCTAAATACCCCAATTTTATAGCATTTTCCAGGTCTCCTAGTCAATTGCCCATTTTTTGAATCAATTTTCATGGATTCCTGCTTTGGGGAAGTGGGACATTCACTGAAGAAACATTTTGGCACTCCTAACCACTACACTTTGACAAAATGTATGAAGTCTCTGCTCTTCACAGTCTTCCTGTGAATAAGGCTTGCTAATAACCTTGTTAGTGGGTAAATTATGACACTTAGAGAGCTAAAGCCTCCAGGGTAAGGTCTTGATTCCAGAGCTTACACTCTGCACATGGTGTATAGCTATTTTATTTTTTTATTTTATTTTTGTTTATTTTTTTTGTATAGCTATTTTCAATGGGCTTATTTTCCTTCCCAAGTTGAAGGGACCAAAGTTACAGCATATGAAATCATTCTACTTAGGAGACAGAGAATGAAGAATGAGACATAATGAGCACTAACTTTTTAATGTAATGTTCACAAGTAGCATAGGACACCTATGATTCCACTTTGCATTCAATTATTTATAGTAAGACAAAATATCTTTCAAGTATGTACAAAATTTTATCTACCTGTGAAGGTAATCAGAGGTAAAGAATCAATCTTTATGTATTGCTTTTGCCAAAGCCTTTGTCAGTAAATATTCAAGATATTCATCACAATATTGTCTAGTGACTAAACCTAGAATCAGTTTTAAATTGCAATCAAAATAATGAGGACAGGTGTTTCCTGTAATCATACATTTGTTTCCAATTAGGTTTATTGTAAGGTGGCGTGTGTGTGTGTGTGTGTGTGTGTGTGTATGTGTGTGTATGAAGATGTGTGTGTGTATGTGTGTGTGTGTATGAAGGTGTGTGTGTGTGCATGTGTATGAAGGTGTGTGTGTGTGTGTGTATGTGTGTATGAAGGTGTGTGTGCATGTGTCTATGTATGTGTCTACTGTAAGGAGGATTAAAGCTGAAATTTTCTGAAATTTCTCTACGTGTGTCATTGATATATAGAAAAGATTTTGATTTTTTTGTTTATTTGGACTCATTATATTTTGCTGAAATTATTTATCAGCTCTAAAATACTTGTGGAGTGTTCAGAGTCTTTTATACAAAGAATCATCATCTGAAAATAGAGGTACCTTTATGTCCTTCACCATTCATAACCCTTTTATTATCCTCCATTATCTTATTGCTTTAGAGAATATTTTAAGTAATAAATTGAATCTTAGTGCCAGGTTCGGACAACCTTGTTTTTTGCCCTATTGATGGAAGTGCTTTGAATTTTCCCCACATAATGTTTGTTATGTTGAAGTACACTCCTTTCATCCTTGGCCCTCTATATAGTTTATAAAACTTAATGTTTGTCCTGATTTATCACATAGGAAGTCTGAACCTCAATAACATGAATGAATTAATTAATGCTGGGGAGGATATGATTTCATTAGGATAATGTGTACCTGCCAAAAAATTGTTTACATGGTGCAATGAAGTATGTAAGCAGGCAGCACATCCACAGCATGAGGCAAATTTTTGGGACCTATAGATGGGTCAGAATAATAATGTGCAGAATAATTAGGAACAAAAAACTAAAAACCAAGAAAACAAAAAAGCAAGTTGAAAATGTACCAGGGTTGGAGGTTTTACAGAAGGGCCTCCATTTCTTAGAGGAAATGGACAGGGGGATGGGAGAGGAATTATGTGAGGAATAAACAAGGTGAAAGGGGAC